CTCCTACCTTTACCCTTTGCATTGCCTTTGTTGGAATAGATAACAATATGGTTTCTCTGTCTTCAGGATAACAGTGGTTCAAGGCAACCCACCAACTAGATACTGGACTGACATTGTCACGGAAAATTTAAGATTTGATAAACAAATGTGTGTAGCAGGAGGAGGAGCAGGTAGGTCAACAGAGTAGGCTCTACTAAGCTCAGACTTACGTCTTTGTTTAGCAAGTTCTAGTTCAAATCCGTGTTGTTTGTTTTCTAGAATCCAATGGCATCGATTTCATTATAGCTTTTATTTCATGTGGCTTTATTATACACATAGTTACAGTATTACTGAACCTATTTCTTCAATGATACTCATTAACAACCGTTTTTATATTCGTCGTTGTGAACCGTTACGTCCTGTCCAGACTATCAAATTTTATCTGACAAAACATGTGACATGCCTAAATATGGTCATGATAACATCACATCATGACCATATATAGGCATAGCCTGACTAAATATAGGCATACAACACTTTTTTGTCAAAGAAAAGTTGAGTCTAGACAAGGCTTAAGGATTTTTCTAGTAAAAGCCTGCAAATCTGCACAAAATGAACTGTATTTATCTGATACAGATTAAGAACCACCGAAGCTACCAACAGATACGGGTACAGATTAAATTTATTATCCAGAAGCTGGAAATTGCGTTGCTCAGAATGCAATAAGTTGCAGATTCGAAAGCCAAATCAAATAATTTACAGATTTTTTACTACAAAAATCGTAATTTTGCAAATTGAATATGCAAAGTCTGAGCTGGAACGATAGGCCTGTTTAAACCTCCCTTAATTGCTAACAATAAAAATACAAGTTAAGATAATAATAAGTTTATAATTATTCTTTTTCTTTATATAAACATTTCAAATATAACAACTATTTTGTTTTTGTCTTTTCAGGGTTCATCATTTCATCATTTTTTACAATTGCTTCAAGCATCATTGTAGCTGTTCTTCTTGCGTACTAGTTGGATTTTCTAATATCATGTTGATTACCTACTACTAAATATCATCATAGAGCTACATTTTAATTCATATTAGAACTGATAGGTCTATGCAATAAGGAAATACCATTGTGTTTAAATGCAGATAGTATTCAGATATTGATTACTCAACGTATGTGGACGCTCTTTAACGTTTAGTTCGTACAGTTATTTAAGTAACATTTCTAAGTTTCTTATAAATAAATAGGATATTAAAATTAGGATATTATTTACATTGATTGAATTAAAAAAATACTGATGCTCTGAGTTCTTTTTAATTGTCTATTTTGAATTGTTACTGTCTTTTCTTGGGGAAGGGAGAGAAGGTTATGTGAGGGGATTTAGCATGCGAAATACAGCAAATTTCCAAAGGGTTGGGGTAGCCTGGGGTACAAACCTTTGTTTTTGACGTAGACCTGCCCACAAATAGGAAAGTTTGGCTAGCCTATGGGAACTCAAGGCTAGCCACACTATTCACCCCCTAGATCCGCTATTGCTATCTATCATTATTCGTATCAGCATGGAGAGAAGTCTACGACAGTGGAGTTTCCCTCGGTCCACTGTACAGTGGTATGCCCACCCTTCTTCAACTCTTCCACCTCTTTCTGTCTGACGTTTATCATCACGTAATTTTGTGTGCCGTTTAGTAAATTTATGCTAATGCGTTTATTTTTGCATTGATTCAAATACAAGGCCCATACAAAGGCTGAAAACTAAGTCCTATCGCGATAATATACAGAGCAACTAATAGTCTAACGCCATGGCCTGGCACAGACTTGAAAGAAGCGCATGCCAAAACATGGTCTATAAGAAGAGTTATGAATAATTTATGAAATTTTACCAAACTTTCTTACGAAAAAAATAAAATCGCCGCCCGCTCGCCCACTCACTAATCGCAGCTCCTCTCAAAGGAGAGGTCTACCTTTAAAGCGAGAGGGCTCCCCGTAACACGCTTAAAGCATAACAGCGGTACGACATCAAGGCGTGGCAAGCCCTATCGTGGAATATACAATGTACATTTCTAGATGCATTATGCCTACCAGTAATACTGTACCACCATAATACCATTTTGCAATATGTGACCTTATCAATCGTGTTAGAAGTGATTCGCCGACCGGAGCTGAGTAATCGCACGCCACCTTCATTTTGTAATAGAATGGTTTTAGAATTAACCAAATAAGTATTAGGTAGGACCATTCCATTCATCTTGACAAGCATCGGTTCATATAAGAGACGAATTGACTGCTTTGACCTTAAAATGATGGTGATGGAAATACATTTAATAGAATAGTATCATTGTGATTTTAAATATCTAAGAGCTCAAAGTGCGTGAGTGTATGTCAAGGATTTTTTTTTTAGCTTATCGTCGCTTATGATAATCCGGATGCACAATGGTAGACCTAATATTCTGAAGGCTTTATCGAGCTTTGTTTATTCTCCTTAATGTACAAATTAGTAAAACCAGGGACTTGTTATTAAATAACAACTCCCTGGTAAAACTAAGTAGTGATCCACCTTGGAAAAGTTAATTTCAATTGATAAGAACCGCTGTTAAGTCTGGAATGCCGCTTGAACACAAAATTAAATTCGAAGTTAAAATTATTTAGCTTTCTTATCAATTAACATACAAATTCTTCATAATCATATATTATCATATAACTTTTACCCCCTTTTAGATAGGCCTAAGCCCTACTGTTTTTTTTTTTATATTACATAAAATGATATTACACAAAAATGGTGGAAGATTATATATTAAAGATATCGTTTGACGCAATGGAAATACTGTGAGCGCATTATAAATTGCTATAGACAGATCCGTGAAAAGGACTTGATAGTCCTTGAGACTTGGTAACTATAGTGGAGATGTACAGTAGTTTGGTGGTAAGATGCTTGCCTTCCAGTTCCAGTGTTCCTGTGAGAGAAAAAGAATTTTCTCATGACTAAAATCATCTCCACACACTAAGCCTACTAGCAGACAGATTATAAAACATCACATTACTTATTTATTTAAGAGGGATTATGATATTAGCCGACTAGAATGAAATAGAATGACCACCCTCTCTATAGTGTAAAAATAAATATTAGTATTACCAATTTATATAGGCCTACATTCATGTCTTCACATAGACACCTTTCACATAGACACCTTCTGAACGTACCAAGATGGAAACTCAATTCCTTTGGTCGCCATCATTTTCCAGCGCTGCACCGCTGCATTATTAAATTATCACCAATATACAGATTCAGGAAAAGCTTGAAAACGCACCATTTCTCAATCGCATATTATTCTGAGCGCCTGAACAGATAGCTTACATTATGGATATTGGTGCTATATATGATTGATTGAATACGGTATACTGGTAACATATCTAAATAAGTTTTATATTCAAGAGTATAGGACTACAGTATAAACATTAATTTTCTATTTATTTTCGTATAATAGGACAATGAATATGCAATTAATAGCCTAATCTGTGTACTTGTAATGGTAATAGACCTGGTAGGCTTATTTAGGCTAGTCGTTCGGAGTGGTCCTCCAGTTGGAGCGGTAACTGAGCTGTGTCAATTTATGATACCAAAACAAGGTGTGGAACCCTATCAGCGAACCCGTCTTTTGTAATTTCAATCAGTTGTCGAAACTTCACCAATGGCGACCCGATAACAAGCTCAGTTTTCACATCTCATTAATAGGGAAATGGTAAAGCGATTGAAAGCAGACACAATACAAATAATAGAGATTGAAACTGGGGGTGACATGTTAAAATACTTCAATGATGATAAACGGAGATCAATGTCACTATAACCTGTATCAAGCAGAGGCGCCACACTCAAGGAGCAGCTAGTCTGACCATCCATAAGGGTCTGTTTCGTGGTACGTCATGGTAGACGTCCTGAAAATAATTAAGTCTGTTAATTATTAAATAATCCACATAGTCATGTTAACAGAGTTTAAAGCGAATTACTGTCACACAGCATTATTGTTTTTCCTTATCCTCCTCAAACTTTCTCTTTCTATCTCTATAGTTACTGTTGGAAGCCCAAGTAACAGAGTGTTCAAAGGTACTATGTTTGTACAAGCTCGAGTTAATGATGAAGACTTTGATTCAAACAGCCCCGATTGATGCACCCGTAGAGAACTGCCTGTTTGCAATCTTAAGACAGTCTATTATCTATTATGCACACAATTGGCACCAATTGATTTCTTTTAATGCAAAATGTATATCTTGACTTAATACTTTTCTTATTCTTATAATATCCTCTCTTGATTAGGATTAGCCGTATCACTCTATTTTAATACTCAATGAAGTAAGTCAATTTTTCAATTTAATTTCTTGTTGTTTCAGAAAATGTCCATATCAAAATAAATACAAAACAAATGAGATTGAAATAAAAAATAGAAATACACAATTCGATCACACTGAGACATTTGCCTCCTGTTTACTAACCTTGCAAATAAATAAACAAAACAAAAACATAGGTGCATATTTCAATGGTTATTAATAATCGTCTCAATGTAATAAATAATTCCACTTCAAAATCAAATCAAATCAAATTTTTTCACTTGCAATATGGATTACATACACAATGCAATCAAGTAAGTGAAACAAACAAAACAAAGCAAGCAAGGGTTGCTGAGCGGGCTTAAGCCCATAACCTCCCTATACAGATCAATACAATTTATAGCAGGTAAGCATTAATACTACAACAAACTATTATACTATATTGAAACTTAAAGACTTAGATGTTGAATTAATTGAGAACTTTAAAATATAAATGAATATACAAGTATACATGTAAATGAATTGCCAACAAAAATTCACTTAATATGTAAATACTAATACTTAGACCTAATTAACAGAAATGATAAAAAAAAATAGACAAATGAATAAAAAATATATAAAAAATAAATAAATAAAATAAAAATTTAAACTTGGTACAATACCAAACGAAATAGAGAAGGGTGAGATTGAGATAGAGAGATGGGGGGGGGGGGGGGGGCGATTGATGGGGGGGGGGGGGGTGGCGATTCCCCGATCAGGTCGACAGGAGGAAAGTGGGCGTGGTCAAGCCTTCGCTTAAAATGTTTCGAGGTGCAGAGGTCAAAGCCCCCGACAATTTTGACAATTTAGGGGTTTCAAGGGCTTATTTAATCGATTTTACGGTTTACTAGCCTAACGTACAAAATACATATAGTTTTTTTTTCTCCCCGACTAATCGTGCTTCTCCCCGACGGGCGACTCTGGCCCCACACGCCCTGCTGGCGCCACCCGTGCTGTTACGTTTATCTACTATCACTATAATCCTACCAGATTATTTCACATTACTTTATAACTCAATGCTTAATACCATATTTAAGTCCACAGTGTTTACTAATTAATACATTTTCTTAGGACTTTATATAACATAAAATATAACAGGCATATAAGTATGATACATAATAGGAAGTTCGAAATTAGCCAGTACTGTACTTCACAGACATCTCTTAAATTGATTGTCTAATAGTTGTAGACATAAAGCAACATAATATATATGGATATTTTTGCACAGAATTGATAGTACTGAGTGTGTTCTATGATTACTTTTTCGGTCATATTTGTTCTTTCATACCCTTTATACCTATCCATAACAGTAGATCATTACTCTTCCATGGTCATTGATACTTATAAGTTTAAGAATGTGACAAAATATGGTACCGAATGATGTACATTTAATGAGTGGTACCGATAAGCTTATAGTTCATTTCCTTTTATATTTTCTTGGTCTATATTTTTAACATTTAAATCCCGGCTCCGAAACTTTGACCCAGAAGTACCGGGATAATGTATTGTTTAGTTAGGTTTGTAGTAGTTAAGATAAAAATTGTGATCCCAGCCCCGAAACCTTGACTCAGAAATACCGGGGGATAGTTTCTACTAATTTTATCTATTTAAGTAATTGTACAGTATTTGTCCTACCTTGTAATCCCAGCCCCGAAACCTTGACTCAGAAATACCGGGTTGGTGTCCGGCGTGGGATAGTTTTTACCATATTGTAGTTAAGTTGTATTTAAGCATAACCTTGAGCCGTAATTCCTGACCCCGAAACCTTGACTCAGAAGTACCTGGTTGGTGTCCGGCGGGGGATGGTTTTCCACCAAAGTTTTAACTGTTGTTTTTTTTGTTGTTGTACTGTGCTGGTTACTTGTTGTTGTTGTTATTGTACTATGTGTTTGCAGGACCATATTGTAAAACAGCGGTAAGATCTCGCCTGTATATGTTATCCTGCCTAAAGATGTTTTAAATAAAAAATAAATGAAATAAAAATAAATATATATATATTTTTATTTTTATTATATATATATATATATACAATTATATATAAATTATCAAAGAAATTTAATATATATATATATATAATATATATATAATATATACAATACTCAATACAAATAACAAATACTGTAGTAGTCTAGTGGTATTATGGTGGTAGAGATCTCATATACCTGAAGTGATTAATTCAAATTGATGAATCAGAAACCAAAGCCTATGCATACAATACTTGTATTATGACAAATGGAATTGAGTCTCAATGACTTGCATTTTTAAAGAAAAAAACCCCGTAAATCAATGACAACACGTCGAATTTTTAGAATTAAATAGACATAGGCTAACAGAGATAAACTCGCGTATGGACTCGATAAGAAGCAGCCGCCTCTGTGTAAATATAAGTAGTAGTTTCAACTGCGCATAACTATCGTCTGCCATTTTCTAAACCTTATTACTTAACAATTGTGTGTTTTTTTTTTTTAATCTATTTTTATTCGGAATTACACAGTTGAATAAGCGGCACACACCTAGCTGGTCGGTGCACCATGAAATTAACCTTGTCAAGTGGAATAGATACTACACGTGGGCTTCTTCAAAAGTTATCAGCAGACAGTCGGAGTTCAATAGAAATGCCTATTAGCCTATTATAATACATAGGCCTAATTTTGATTATTGTAAGCTTCAATAGCTTTTAATAATAATACAGACCCTCTAATTCCGAAACCTCTCTAATTCCGAAACCTCTCTAATACGAGACCGCTGTTTTAAAGTATACCAACTAACCACCTCTCTTTTAACACTGATCTCACCCTCTAAGTGCACCCCCCACCCCAACTCGAGACCCCTCTAATTCCGAGACCCTGTAATTCGAGACCACTTTTCCAAAGACCCAAATAACAATCTTTAACTTTTAACACAAAGCTCCCACTAATTGGAGACCAACCCCGAGACCACCCCAAATTTTCAGGTCCCAAAGGCGGTCTCGAATTGGAGGGCGAACTGTAATTATGAGACGCCCTCTACGAGACCGAGACCAACTTTATGGAAGTACCAAGTGAAAAATTCCTCCAATTTAAGACCAGATTTTAAAATAAAATCAAATTTGAGTTTTTTAACAAGAAATACTCTAAAATTTGAAAAATTGAACTTTAACATTAACAAATGTATTTTCATAAGTTCATCTCTCTTTTTGTCTTTTTGTGCATTTTTTGTTGAAAAGGCTAGTTTTTGAAATTAATAGGCCACTAGCTGTGAATGATGAGAATCATCCGTCGGAAAACGGATCGGCCTTTGCAGTAAGAGCTAGGGATGGGAGAATGAATGGGGTACTAAAATTTGTTTTTAAACTGACCCGCTACTTCTAATCACGGATACTGGATTTTAAATTTAGCGGGGTCTGAGAGCATATCCACCTCAACCCCCACCATGGTTAGTGAACAACTCTGAATGTCATGTCCGGCCGGAAATAGACAAAGACAACTGTGGAGCCGCTACCCCTCCCCTCAAATGCATCCACAAGATTTAAAATTAGCTTGAAGATCGAGTCTATTTTTGGAAATATGGCACCAGGATATCAGTGGCGGCACTACCGCAGGTTCAACAGGTTCGTCGAAACTGGGCCCTCAAGCTCCAGGGGCCCCGATCTACAAGGGCCCCGCCCCCTTACAAAATAATCTAATAAAGCAATGAATAAGTAAAAATCTAGAATGATAGTATTTATCTTTATATAATACCGCACATTATAAGTTAAAATTGCCTAGCAGTGCGTAACTTCCACAGGTTCAGGCGGTTCATTAAAGCTAGGCCCCCTTTAAATAAATCATGTTTTTTAGTTTGTTATTCTATGGATATGAAATTCTGAAATAAAAGATGAAATGAAATAATGGGAATATTTTCCTTTTTTCTTTTCAATTCAGGAGTCTTGCCGTAAGACTTGGTAACTACAGTATGTAGTATGCCTAATGGACTAATACTAATTTTAATTATTTTAGCTCTCTATTTAAATCTTATTAAACCTAATGTTTCTATTTCATTTATTTTCAAATAATAAGACAATGAGTATGCAATTGGCAACTTGTGTCCTTGTAATGTTGATGGGCCTGGTATGTGGTTTTCCATCTGGTCCTCCGGTTGGAGACTTTCCAAGTTTGTGCGCCAGTATGACTCCACAGCACGGTAGCAGTAGTCCGACAACCGGCAGCCCTCCATTCGAGATATCAGTTAGCAGCACCAACTTCACAAAAGATAACGCAATAACAGGTAGTATACCATGTTTTGATTAAAATCTGACAATCGAACAAAGAAATACTATAAAGAGAATAGAAACAAAAGCACTCAATAAATGATGCATAGTGAGGTTATAATTATTATTAGGGTTATTATATTATTAATATAGGCCTTGAATAGAAATTAAGAGAAGCAGCGACAGAGAAGCGAAATGAAAAATCACAGTAAGAAGTTAAAAGGGGGTGGGGGGGAATAAACAAACTGCTTCAAGTAGCGGTAGTATAGAGGGTATCCATAATAACCGATAGGCCTAACATGGATGTGTAGCCTATGTCGTCATCACGTGATTACATTTTGAAAAAGAAATAAGTACTTCAACATCGTCCGTTTATTTATTTTTTTTGTAAAACTTTAGTCACTATTCAAAGCCCAGGCAGCACGACGTTCGAGGGACTGTTTGTACAAGCTCGAGTTTCCGATGCAGACTTTGCTACGAACAGCGCCATCGGAACATTCTCTTCGTTTAGCTCCAACACTGGTGGATTGACCTGTTCCAGCAATGCCAATGTAAGCTGAATTACTTAATAATAGTTTTACTTGTGACATCATGATTCGATTTAAACTTTGGCCCAGGCTGGACACGTTCCTTTTATATTGGTGGGATGGGGGGTTCATGAACTGAAAACTTTGCTGTGTTAATAATTGGGGGTAATCTTGATTGGGATTTGTGTTGTAGCATGCGTGGTTGTAGACACACTTAGCTTCTCATAGGCATTGGCCTATATTATATCGTGCAGTAAATTCGTATTACTGTATACTTCGAAAATAAGTTAATATAACTTTACCCCTAAAATTAAAATCATTAACAATAACTCGAGAAACAAAAACCATAACATCAGCACACCTTAAATGGTGCTGGTTTTTAACTTTGTTGACCACCTAAACCTCCTTAGAATTATATTAGGCCTACTAATATTCACCAAAAAGGCCAATAATAAACTTTAAATGCATTCTTTATCTGATAGGCCTATCTATAACAGGAGAAATGAAAAGTTTTCGGCATTGTTCCAATACAAACCTCTTGTTCCCTGTTTGGAGCCTGTATAATGAATTTACCGTATTGTAGTAAAACAAACAGGGGATGCGAAGATAGGATACACTAGGTATGATATTAGGATAATAGATATAGAATAGGATATTGAAAGAAAGTAGAAAGTATCGGCAGTCTTCAATCCAAAACATCAAATATGTTAAATTGGTGAACTATGATTATCAAAAATGTATTCTTGTATTTCTATTTTGCAGAGCGCCTGGGGTCACACTAGCAAAGATAACAGAGCCTCGGCCAGTGCACAGTGGACATACAGCGCAGGTTGTGATGACATTGGGCCTGTAGCATTTAGGTATGGCTTCCACTAACATTATCATAATATATAGATTCGTCTATGGCTCTGGTTGTAGAACAAGTTTTCTCAAATAAGGACTATTTTATTGTAATATACTGTATATAATTTTATTGACTCTGTACATATTTTATCGTCTCTCCTAATGGAGATTTATAAATAAATGAATGAATGAATGTATAAACCGAATGACCCACTGTCCAAAATTGGCTCAGTGCCAGTACATCATTCGAGACGAGCATAGGGGATACCGGGTGGCTGGTCCTGACAACGAGAGGCGCTGGTAACGCGTGACACAGACACATAAAAGTGGTAGAAACACCATAAAGGCCTGTTTATACTTCAACGATAACGATAACGATAAAAAAACTAAAAAGCAATTGTTCATATAGAAAATATAAGAAATAAGAGAAGTTTTTACACTTGAACGATTTGATAACGATTTTATCAGTTATGCGATAACAACATATTTTGACAAATCAAATCAGATGACGTCATAATCATGAAAAAACATTAAAATCGTAGTAGTAGCAACGATTTTATCGTTTTTCCATGATTATGACGTCATCTGATTTGATTTGTTAAAATATTTTATTATACACGATATATCGTTATCGAATCTTCCTAGTGTAAAAACTTCTCGTTATCGTTATCGTTGAAGTATAAACAGGCCTTAAACGTGGTAGAAAGTCACCGAACGCACAATAGTCCACACATCAAGCATCATGAGCATCTTGTTTGATGGATAGAGGCGCTCAGGGGTGGCGCCAGGATTTGCCCAACGGTGGGGGGGGGAGGGGAAGGGCGACTTCCCCGAGGAAAGGGTAAGATTTCCCCGACGAAAGCAAAGTGGAGGTGGTTAAGCTTCGATTAAAAGCCTTAGAAAAAAGTGGCCCAAGGGGCGAAGCCCCCGAAAAGTTTGACAATTTAGAGGTTTCAAATTTAATTGATGTTAGAGTCTACTAATATGTAGAAAACACACATAATTGTGCTTTTCCTCCCCGACCGGGGGGCGGGGGAGCTATCCCCGAAGGGGGTATTTTACTGAGGCACAAGATTGGTTGTTGCAAGTTGTATACTGTATAAACAATAGTAAACGAAAATGGTCTCCCCGACGGTGAGGGCACAGCTCTCTCTGATGGGGGCCCTGCCCCCGGCCCCACTCCCCTCCCCGGCCCTCCGCTGGCGCCACCCCTGCGCCGCTATACAATGTGCACGATCATATATATATATATATAGCTTTACTGAGGGCACAAGATTGGATGTTGCAAGTTGTGTACAGTAAAATATAAACAATACTATTGTGAGGTAGACTGCTTATAATGTGTGTTTGTGTGTGTGTGTGTGTGTGTGCTCGCGTGTGTGTGTATTACTAAACCACGTATTTATCTTCGGACAATCTGCCGTACACGTATTACACGCATTTCAATTTTTACAGAGCAACCGTCGTGGTAGAATTGACTGAATACTACGTTGATATCCGTTCGGAGAATTTGCTCTTTGACAGAAGCAATTGTCAAGACAATGATGATGACGATCCCGATAATGGTGCAGGTTTGTTACAAATTCTACTTAATTTTTAATCCAAGCGAGTGAGAACGGATGTACGAAAGTTATATTGATAAAAATGGAATGAACTTATATTAGCAATTCACAAAACTCTTGTACGGAATGTTAAGACCCAAGAAACAAACTATCCTAAAATTAACCTTTAGCAAACCTTATCGAGCAAAATTATGTTACAGACTGGACTAGTGTGATTAAGACTGGGTGGGTACTGCATCGAGTGAAAAAGAGAGTGGTGAAGTGAAGAAAGAGGGGTAAATGGAGAAATAAATGTTGTAGGAACTGGGACTAGTGTGATTAAAGCTGAATACAATCAAGTGAAAAAGAGGGGGCAGATCGGAGAAGAATTTGTAAAGAGAAATGAATAATGTAGAGCTAGGGAACTGAGAAAAATAATGGTGTTTTAAAGTATCAAGTATATGCTTCTTAGAATAATGATTTTTGTTTTCTTTTCATATTTCGTTTTAGGAACGATCACTTCGTCTATGATTATGATCGCAGCGAGCATTATCTGCTACATGGTTCTAATGATTTAAATGATGGCTCACGAATGGTTAACAGTCAATATCATGCTACATCATTATTGCACATTACTACAAGTTCCAACATTTTGATAGTCAACATCTGGTATATGATATAATTGAATATATGGTATACGATATATAATATAAAGTACATGGTATATGATATATAATATATGGTATTAGCCTATATAATATAAAATATATGATAGGCCTATATGCTATATGTTATATAATGTAATATATGGTATATAATATATACTGTAATGGTATATGATATGTAAATTTATATAAATGCATGTTGTTGTTAGCCATTCTTTGCTTGAACATTTGGCAAGCAGAGTAGTATAGTTTACGATTTGCACACCTAACGTAGTTTAACTGTTTTGCACTGGTCTTCCAGTACGGTACTTATTAATATTACTTTTATAATAACTTTATATCCAGATTCTTACGTAGGCCATGTTTGAGTGATAAGTAAGAATGTATTGGCGAGTCATGATTGAGAATTACAATTAACAATTGACACAATACGGTACCGAATGATGTACATTTTACTGAGTGGTGCCGCTTTAGCCATACAAAAAAAAATACCACAGTGTTACCATTCATCACTATATGCCATAAGATAATAGTAGTACTAAGAGATAAAATGTTAACATGCATATAATTATTATTATATTATATATATGAGTATAAATTAATTATATTATATATAATATAAGTATAAATTAAATGATGGATTGACAAATTTTCAGTGCGCGAATTAGAAGATCGGTAGGCCGATATTTTAGTAACTCTTTAGACAGCTAAACATAATACCGACAATTTTAGGATAGTAGCTCTAGATTGACTGGAGAGACTGGAAATGACACTTTTATATAGTAAACTTCATCGTCATCACATCACCATTATAATAATACAGTAATCAAAATGAAGCGCCAACAAACTTCTCATGATGTTTTATCAGCGATTTTCGACAACCATAGATATCTATGTGTGATGTACTATAGAAAATAAATATTAAAAACATTGTCTTTGATGTATTTAATTTAGGCCTACATTCTTTTTCTCATACTTCTCAAATTATAACAAAGGCACGTGCACTCTAGTCGTGTGTTATAAGTAATTCAGATGTTTGTGGGCAGAGATAGAGTACCAGGGTCATTTATGCAGTAAATCTCAACAATTTTCTAGGCATCTTCTTGACTTATGAAATTATTAGATTGCGACCAACCCCCACCCCTTAACAATATTTGGGGACGTGTCCCCCTTGATCATTGGCTTAGGGAGAAGCACCCCCTGCCATTTGAGATTTTTTGGAATTAGTAGACTGCTAGACGCTCTTGGATGACATCTGAAAAGAAGTTAAGCTTAAATAGAAAGTGTATGTTTTACGAGAGTAGCCTACTGCATGTAACATGTATACATGAAAAGCACACACACAAGACGCGTGACCATTTTTTTTTCGAGGCCACCGAAGTGGGAGGGGGTGGCTTGCCGCCCTATTCACCCCTAGATCCGCCCCTGGGGTGGGGGGGTTACCCCGATGTTATGGTTAATTTCATCCCCAGTCGTTAAATAATGTGAACCGTGTATCTACCATGAAGCACCTATTTACAGCTGCTCTAGGTAGTCACGGACCACGCCCATACGCAATTCAGAACAATGACGCTGCAAATAATGGGTTATTCTCCTACTCTCCCTCCCCCCCCCCTCACCTTTTTGGGGAACATGCCACATGCCACATGCTATGGACGGCCATTATGGTCAAAATAGACAACACGTCGTCGTAAGGACAAATCAATTCAATTTCTTTTATTGTTACAATTGCCATCTTTTGCCAATATCCCAACAAATACAGAAACAAAAAATACACTGCAATAGTAACTATGCATTATGGGGTTGAGACGTCACTACCCTAAACGAACTGCATTGTGGGGTAGGGGTTACTCCACTGAGGTCGTAATGAACAGCATACTAACCCTTAACGAACTATGCATCCTGTGGTAGAAGCTTTACGGTACTCCACTAAGGCACAAATGACCCGAAAAGCAATAAAAACATCCAATCACAGTAAGAGAAATGCATCCTATAAAGACAGTTCCATCCACGTAATGAACAACTCTATTTACGCACTGTACTGTAATGGACATATCCATCACCGTTAAGACAAGCTCGTCGTAAAGACAATACGCGCTCGATCGATCGATCGATCGAAGCAAACGCCTATGCGTTCCCAAACTCTAGGGGCCCATCACTACCCATAGGATCCTCGACCTAGCACCCCGACCCAAAACAACAGCATATGACACCGACATCCACTGTAGTACATATATCATACATTATTCAGGCACGGATCCAGACCTTCGCGCCGTTCGCCATGGCGAAGGTCAGGGCGAATTTCAACTCTCCCTTGTAATGATTTGTTGCATTGTAAAAATATTAATTAAAAAATGAATATAATTAAATCGGCGGCGTGTTTACCTTTAAACTACACTTGAGTTTTGTATTTTGATTTGTCACAATATATAGTTAATCACAAGGCAGTTAATGTGCGAGCTGATTCTTATAACCCTATTGAAAGACACGTGACATAATATTATTGTAATTACTTTGTTATTTAAAAATCACAGTAGGCCTAAAGCAAAAACCTATATAATTTTAACTAGGCCTATTACTATTAACGAACGCTATGAAAAAATAAACAGGTCTTTTTAGAAGTTGATATAGCCTAATTGTAGACATAGAGCTTAAAACACACTCCTAAAAAAGCTGGAATTTCATACATCTATATAGAAAGTTAAAAATGACCACCGAGCACTGAGAGACTGAAAATTAATACGGTACGCGTGAAAAGCAACGAGAGGAATGGCATGTAAATTTCAAATCATACAGCGTTTGAAGTGGAAAAAGAATTAAAAAAAAAAACAATACTGAACCCAAAAACAGTGAAAATATATAGTACTGCATTATTTAGCAAGTAAAATGTAATTTTCCAGGGCTATTGTACGAACCCGCGCCACCAATTTTTCATGACAGTCGAAAATGTCTGAATAGAAAATTTGTGATTTTCTGTGATTTAAAAGGATCTTAAAATATAGGTTTCTCTCAAATTATAGACCCTCCAATCAGAGACCACTTTTAATTAAAGTCCACTTTTATGTGGTCCCAAATTCACAAATGTCCTTAATCTTTATTATTCTAATTTGAGACCAAAGCTGTAAAAGACCATGGGAACCCTGGTCCTAAATGTGGTCTTTCATTGGGTGGGGGAAACCTACATTTACAGTTTAACTACACACTTAGGCCAGTAATATTTCAGATCGGTTGTATTGTAAAGCCCTCGGAACAATACATACTCAAATTGCACTCTGAACACGAAGCGTTCTTTTTTCTGGGGGAGCATTCCTAGCTTGCTATGCATGACAGCACTTCCAATTTCATTCATCTCCCTCCAGGTACCAGTCTTTCAGTACAACAGACAGATCCACTATACTTTCGGGTCCTTCACCCCTGCAGAACAGGGGAGGGGGAATTTTGTGGTTTCTAGGCCCCAGCATGAGCTCGCTTTGCTCGCATTAATTCCACACCCATACCGTGCCGCCGCCCATCACTACATTTCCTCCAGTCTCCATATCATCATCATAGTGAAGTATGCAGGAAGCAATTTTATTATTGGCCCGGACAACGAATATAATTTTCCACACCTCCCACCCACATTTACCCCCAGAGAGCGTTATTTACATAGTCCGAGTTTTTCTCGACAGGAGATCCACACTCCCACCTCAGCAAAGTTTCTCTACTTTCCGGCAAACTAATAAAATTCACCCAAATTCGTAAAAATCCCTTCTAGGTTGCTTCAGATCTAAAAAATAATCGTAATGGTTAGAAGAAAATATCATATTTCAATACGTACTCAGAAGCCACACAATTTGTAAAAAAAGAAATTCATGTCCAACTTTAAGTCTAAAAGTGCATTTTCCGGCCATCTAGAGGTGCCATAATCATAATGTTTACATCAACCGTGGTCTAGAGTCGCTCCACCTGTGTAACCACTCCCCTGGCCCTTTATTTCGAATTTCTGGATCCGTCACTGTATTATGTGTATTGGGACGGAAAAATTCCCCTCCTCAAGACCACCCCAACAAAATGGAAAAATAACATCTGAGCGCTTTGGCGTAGTTTAGTATTTAGATATTAAAAAGTGAGTTGGTTCACTATCATCATCATATTTTACAATAGGCCTAAAATAAAAATTATATTAATTTGACTATTAATATCAACTATTTTATCTTTATTGTAATTATTATTATTAATATCATCAATATCAATATTATCAGTCATTACTTTAATAATTAAGCCCAAGACTATCACTTCACGGCAGCATAAGTTAACAAACCCTTGGGCACTTATTTTCATATCAAGATCCAAGCTCTTAGAATTATCGTCAGTGCAGATCTTATCTATGCCTGAGATAATATTATGTAGATTGGTCGTGCACTTTCACACGAATAGAATCTCAAATTTAGATTAATAGTTAATTTAATAAACAGTGATGGCGCCAGAGGGGGGCTGAGGGGGCTATAGCCCCCTCGTCGGGGAAACCTAGCACCCCTCCCCGTTGCGGAAGACGAATACATTCCGTCAGGGAATAAAAAAAATTAAAAAAAAATTTTTTTTACATGTCTGTTCGTTTAGCAACCATATCGCCTTCATTGACCTATTGTACCGTTTGTGTGAACTTTCCATCAGAATAATGACAAAAACAACAACAACCACAACAACAACAACATCAACAACAACAATAACAATAATAATAATAATAATAATAATAATAATAATAATAATATAATGACAAATTCATATGCCGTTTTATTGTAAGTTATCCGACTACCATATATACTACTTTTCACATTGAATTAAGCCCATGAAACAACATATATTGATTCTTCTTAACAATGAATTAATTGTTTGGAACGTAAGTCAGCAGAACAGTGTCTAGTGTCAAAACAGCGTTTTGACATTATATTTTAAAATGTCAGTGCATATTAATGTTATGTATTGAAATGAAAAAAAAAAATACAAATGCCCCTCCCCCAGTTTGAAAAATTCTGGATCCACCCCTGTTCAATGGGACTAATTAAAATGGTTTACGTTCTCCTATGACAAATGCTCGTTTGGATGTCCTCATGATGCTTGGAATACATCTTGATCGGGGAACAACCTCATGGTTTACAGATTTCAGGCAAAATTTCCACAATTTATAACTTCATTTTGAAATATAAGCTTGTACGGTGACATTGTGTTTTTCTTAATTCATCGTAGTATAATATTGTCACAAATTGATGGCCTTACAATGTACAATAAGACATTCTTGTTCGTAATTTTGTTGTTAATAATTCACATTCACATGGATTATGAAAAACCTGGATTTCGCCATGATGGGAGGATAGTATTGTAATGTTATACGGTGTTTCTTTTTTAATAATATAAAATGTAAAACGGATTTTAAAATAAGTTAGTTGAAAAAAAAATCGGTTCTGGAATTTCGACATTAAAAAACATAGGGCCTACATGAAGTCATTACGGTAGTTTGATGCCTGTCAAATAACTAATAAAAAATTACCAAAATTCGTCAAATCTCCCTAGCTCCCCTCAACACATTATCAAAGATATAATAATCATAGGCCTATGAGTCACAATTATCAATCTTACATATACAACGATACTGCAATTCAATAGATAATCGGCCATCTTGACTTACAGGTTAACCATAGGCCTAACGATGCAAACGACACCGTACTCAATCTTCCAATCCCGGTCCTCACAATAATAGAAAATTGTACTTCATAATGCTACCGAATTAAACAAGAATTAGGCCTACCAACTTAATATGGGTTCTATACTGTATTCTCCAATAAACAAAATATTCAATATAGTAGTAACTAATTAACACAGGTAATTGCCACTAATAAAACAGGTGTAGCGCATAGGATGAATATTTTACATCCAGATGTTCATTTCAAAATTCGAATCCCACATTAGACTTGTTTTTTTTTTGTAGCCTGGTTCTCACGAGAGCCCTAGTATCCGAATCGGGAGCTAACCGTTAGCGTTAACCGTTAACACCTGCGTGAGAACACCCGATCGGTTAGCGTTAACCGTTAGAAGTATCCGGATACCGCTGACGGTTAGCAAGCGCTATCGGTTAGCAAGTTGAGCGCGTTTTTATCATCAACCAATCACACGTACGCGTTTACAATTTCCAGTTTCTTATTGGCCAGTGATTTGATCATATATAAAATCACTTTATTGCATAAAAACAATACAGGAAACAAATAAAGAGCACAGAACAGTGTCCCAAAACTGGGAGCACGCAAGGCTAAATGAGTTGACATAAAAAAACATTAAGACACAAAATATACCAATATATAAAAGTATAAAAATAGAGGCCGGCCTATCATCAAATTAAGGGAGACTGCATTCAATTAAATTGTCAGTTCAAAAAGAGGCGGATTTGTCTCTTATACACATCTAGATGTTGATCTTTGGCATAGTATATAGTAAAAGAGGAAACAATTGCAATTTTGGAGATATCGTCTCGAAGTTGTTTAAATAAAATTGAATTATTGCACAATTTGTGGATTTTCTTTAAACTTTTAATATTATCAGGGGAAATGTATCCTCTGGAGCCTACTTCGAAACAGACGAGTTCAACCTCGAAGCCAGCATCTATAATATCAGAAATTAGTGGTGCATATTTGTTACATTTTCTGGAGTGGGCGGCATCGATGCCAGTTTCGAAAGAAACGGTAAGTTCAAAAATGAGGAGCTTCTTTAAGTTTTTCCAATAAATGCATAAATCTGGTATTAAGTTAGTTGGTAAGCATTCAGGGGGAATGGTAGTATAGTGAAAATGCTGGGTGCTGGCTCCGAGGTCGGATAGGACTTCAGGGATACAAGTAGCGTTACAAAAACCTTTCTTAAGAGTCTTAACAATATGATTGAAGATGTTATTGTGCCTCCATGTAAGGCGCCCCTGGTCCAGGGATCTTTGACAAAAATTAAGAACGTGATTAAGAGTTTCCCGGTTACCACATGAACTGCATTTTACAGAGTTGGATTTTCCCCATCTATGTAGATTAACCCAAGAGCATTGACCAAAAATTTAAGGACCCCCCTTGGCAAATTAAAAATAATACTTTTCCAATGATGACATGTGTCTTGGAGGGAAAGCAGTTCAAAGAACCTTCCCTGGACCAGGAGCCCCCTAACATGGAGGTCCCAAAAATTTTGTATTTACTCTCTAAGGTTATTTTTTGCGATATTTTTTATCTGATTAAGATTAAGGTTGGGGTCAGAGTTCTGGATGTCTTTCAGCCTAGATTCACAGTCAGTGGCATTTGATTTTTTCCTTGTCCAGTTAATCTCACGCTCAAGACGAGTATTAAGACAGTGGTTAACAGTATCACCTCCTTTAAACCTAGTTGAAATATGAGCCACCAAGTGGCATTCCTTATATAGATCAGATACTCGGGGAATGTTGATTCCTTTGGGCATATGAATAAATGATAACGTCCCAGGATGGGGTAGCCCAAACCACTTCTTTAAATATCTGTTACAGAGAGCGTCGATCTTAACTAGATGAGAAGCACAAATGTCATTAACTGTAATATGATATTTTAAACTGGGAAGAAAATATTGCGAGTAAACTCTGATCTTGAACTCGGATCTGATTAAAGAATTGTCTATCTTATTAATGTTTTTCTCGATTAACGTATATAGGTACTGAAAGACATCCAGATCTGTGTTATTAAAGGTGATAATAGAGCCAAAAATTTGTGTGAATCATTCTCAATTGTTGGAATAATATCAGCGCCCAGAGTGTAGTTAATTTTAGAAGTTCTCCCACGGACAATGGAGAGGGATCGACATTTTTTAGGCTTAAGCTTTAAACCCATTGATTTGATTAGTGTGATAATTTTGGAAATAAGTCTTTGATGTGTTCTTTTATTGCCAGTAATAAGGCAGAAATCATCTGCAAATGGCGTGGATATAATTTTGGTCCCTTCCAAATTATAACCGTGGGAAAGCTCCTGTTCTAAGAATTGCAAGATTGGTTCAAAGCAAAGAATAAATATGATGGGAGATAAAGGGTCTCCTTGAAAGATACCTTTCCTGAATCTAAATTCATTAGATGACCAAAGCTTGGTAGTAACCTTACCACTTAAGCAGGAGTAGGGGTTAGTAATATAGGTCTTAATATTTGGATCAATATTACACCTCTCTAGAGTGAATTCAATTAAAGAATGGGGAACAGAGCCGAAAGCGTCTTCAAGGTCGAAGAAGGTAATATGAGCAGTACGTGATTTAAATTTAGCATGGTGAATTATTTCATGCAAAACTTGATTATGTTCTACACATCCATTTACACCTTTCAAAAAAGCCTTCTGTATTTCGGTATTAACAAGAGAGTGGTACATGTGAGTTTCTTTAAATTCCGTATTTATGACAGCATACAAATCCTCAAGCTATAACATTTGAACATGCTTTATTTTATCAAACACATGAATACAAAAGGTAACCAATGTATAGATAGAGCTAATATTTTTGGTATCCGGATCGGGATTTTCTCGTATGGGCGCACGGCAGCTAACGGTTAGCAGGATCCGGATCCTGCTAACCGTTAGCAGCCGTGTGAGAACATAGGCTACATGTATTTATGACAGCATACAAATCCTCAAGCTATAACATTTGAACATGCTTTATTGTATCAAACACATGAATACAAAAGGTAACCAAGGTATAGATAGAGCTAATAATAGATAATATTGCGGATTGGTCATGTAAGAAAATTTACGATGGCACCATTGGATTTGGATTGGCCGGATTTGGCATTCTTAAACTTACAACTTTGAATATAATTTTCTTTTTTTCCTCAAAATATTTATAATTTTGAAAATTTAGAAGAGGTGGGGGGAGGGAGCGGGAGGGCTGGCTGCCCACCCTTGAATCCGCCACTGAACATTGTCTTATTTTCATAAGTTGAACAAATATCGCTTGATTTTTCACTCTCATAATGAAAGAGAATATGTATTAAATTACCTAAAGAGTGAATTCACTCTTTAGGTCATTTAATACATATTCGCTTTGTCTTATTTTCAGCCTACATTCAAAATTTAATTTAATAATTTATCAGTACATATGCCAGACTAGATAAGTTCGTTCACTAGCACCTAAGTCTAGGTTAAATGCGGGAGAGAGGGACACTTTTTTTTAATCACGCAATCTGTCAAAGATTAATGTTCGTTGCTAAAAATATTTCTCCCAGTCGGTAGCTGGACTGCCCTCAGTGTCATAATTAAGTTAGTCTTCACGACGATCGAGTACAGTAACCTTTCTGCGATCGAAAGCAGGTTCTCACGGGTTCGGCCGCCCACAATTTCGCGAGGGACACTCCGATTTCTTTTATTCAACCATCGAAGACGACAAATCCACTGAGAAAACGAAGTTTGCCTCTCCCGGTCACAGCATTGCCAGAAATGACCCAACTAATGTGCAGTGCACACTCTTTGAAAAAGAAAGAAATGTTACAAGATGACATAAATTGCACACATCACTGCGCGTTAAAAAGCATCGTTGCATGCCCCCCAATAGTCATGTTTTGAAAACACCCTATAGAAAACACTATTGTGGTTCACGAAGTGTTTGAACGTTGTGATTTTGTACGTTATAATAGTAGTTCTCAACAAAGGATCCATACAATTATAGCAACATAACCGAAAGGTGTATAGTCACCGATATACACTTACATCCACTACCAAAATACTGATTTCAAACGAAGGAAGGTAAGATATTTGTGAACATTCTCCCTCTGGTGACCTACCAGGAGCTGGCTGCTCCATTTTGCTAACTAGCGCTTTTATGTTGCATTCATAGGGCTACAATTTTAGAAATATGTTTTCAAGTCTGCCCTGTAAAACGAAGCGATGATGTGCGTGGATCTGCTTCAGTTCCTTGTACCACCGTATGTCGTTATTTCCTGGTGTATCAATAACATTACACAGCATTTTAAAGTATATTGATAGGGATATTGATAAAATATCTATTGTTTCTTAGTGGATTTGTCTTCCTTGAACAAAACAAAGTGGGCAGAGGCGGACCAAGAGAAACACCCGCGAAATATTTGTTTTGTAGACGCCAGAAAATAACATTTGAGGGTCTTTGGAGATTATTATTTTTTTCTTTCTTTCTTTCTTTCTTTCTTCCTTTCTTTCTTTTTTTTTTAGACTTTCCATAAAGAAAGGGGGTGGGGAAGAAATCCGCCCCTGGAGTGTAGGTGGAACCCTTGACAGCCCTAATTACAAAATAGCCATCTTTTGGAAGTGTTTCATGGAGTTTTAGAACAACAACATTTCGCAGACTGTATACTCCTATTAAAGTGAGATGGAATAATAACTCAGGTAAAACTAGTTATATGAAAAATGGAACAAGGCAGGGGTTTATCTTCACCTTTTATATTTAAAATCTTTTATGAAGATTTAGTAGACAAGCTTTATAATAAATAAATAATGGAATTTGGTATTGTCATCAATAGAAGTAGATTGCTAGCCTAACCACAACTATTATACAAAGTTAATAAATGTTTCTGATCGTTAAATTAGGCCCCATGGGTTGCAATTTAACCCTTGTAAAAAATCCTGCACTACATTTGGTAAAACACCATTCATTGCTCCATCGTGGCATTTAAATGGTGTCAAACTTGTTAACACAAACAATGTTACATATCATGGTGTTAAATTTAACACTGACAAATGAATGAATAAGTAATATCAAATTGTAGGCCTATTCATACTCTTCAAAGTGTCGGGATGTGTATTTCATTTTTTTCAAAAGACATTTATTTACTTCTATAGTTAAGGAAACTCTTAATCACGTTCTTAATTTTTGTCAAAGGTCCCTGGACCAGGGGCGCCTTACATGGAGGCACAATAACATCCTTAATCATATTGTTAAGACTCTTAAGAAAGGTTTTTGTAACGCTACTTGTATCCCTGAAGTCCTATCCGACCTCGGAGCCAGCACCCAGCATTTTCACTATACTACAATTCCCCCTGAATGCTTACCAACTAACTTAATACCAGATTTATGCATTTATTGGAAAAACTTAAAGAAGCTCCTCATTTTTGAACTTACCGTCCCTTTCGAAACTGGCATCGATGCCGCCCACTCCAGAAAATGTAACAAATATGCACCACTAATTTCTGATATTAATA